CCGCCGGAACTTTCCGCCTCTTTTTTCATGATTGCATTGCCAACGGCTGCGACGCCTCTGTTCTTATCTCCTCCACTCCCTTCAGCACCGCCGAGCGCGACGCCGACATCAACCTATCTCTCCCCGGAGATGCCTTCGACGTTATCGTCCGAGCCAAGACCGCCCTCGAGCTTGCTTGCCCCAACACTGTTTCCTGCGCCGACATCCTCGCCGTTGCCACCCGTGACCTCCTCACAATGCTTGGAGGTCCCTACTACGGTGTCGTTTTGGGTCGTAAGGACGGCCGCGTCTCCCAGTCCCGTCTCATCCGAAATAGACTCCCCCTTCCTTCGATGCCCATTTCCCAACTCATCGACCTCTTCGCTTCCCGCGGGTTCAGTGTCCAGGAGATGGTAGCTCTGAGCGGCGCCCACACCGTCGGGTTCTCGCACTGCAAGGAGTTCAGCTCCCGAATCGGGAACGATAGCCATTACAACCCGAGATTCGCGGCCGGATTGCAGAAAGCCTGTGCTGGTTATCCCAAGGACCCGACCCTATCGGTGTTCAACGATATAATGACACCCAACAAGTTCGACAATCTGTATTTCCAGAACCTGCCCAAGGGTCTGGGGCTCTTGGAGTCGGATCACGGGCTTTACGGTGACCCGAGGACGAGAGAACTCGTGGAATTGTACGCCAAAGATCAGGCAAAGTTTTTCCAGGATTTTGCTCGAGCGATGCAGAAACTCAGCCTTTATGGAGTGAAGACCGGGAGGAGAGGGGAGATCAGGCGCAGGTGTGACGCCATCAACTAAATTTGAGGTCTGTTTTTGTGTCCATTGATTTTATTGTTTCCGGTGGTTTGGTGGATTAAGGTGGATTCTTTTTGGGTTGGGAGGATCTGGGTTCATTATATTTATACTTGTCTGTACCAATAATCATATCAAAAGCTTAAGAATTATACATATATTTATTTACTGGTTATGTGTTGTGGGTCGTATCTAATCTTCTTGGCAACTTTCCTTTCGCTTGTTCTGATTAGATTGCAGATTCTCCTCCTCTGGTTATCTATTTCTCCAATTGAGGTCTTCTTGAAGGGGAGGTGAATTTTGTGAGTTAAGAGATTTGTCATAGAAAAGCGTGTTCGTAGAAACACGAGAGAGGAGCTTGCAACTCACGTTTTGGAGAATATAATAATGAGAAAGGAAAGAGAAAATATGCTTTGTGAAATTGGATTCGCTGATGGATAGTTTTATTTTGATGGATTCAGTTGAGTTTTGTCTCATCCTCGGTGTCTGGGGGGAAGGGGGGTAAAAGTGCTTTGAGATTTGAGAAGAAAAATTGTGTTTTAATATAAGATTTTAGTGTATTATAATCATGTTTAGTTTAATA